AACTGGCTCATTGGGGAGTTAGTACAAGTGTTGCCATCTATGCGTAAAAACAATCAAAGAAGTACTCACTGTGGGCATAGCACGTACGTACACGTCATACCCGGCACCAAGGGGTTAAAGGAGAAAATGCATTGCTTTATGCCATTACCCTGACATTTGTATTGTCTCATTGTCTGATGTCCTTCATTCAGTATGATAGTGACTGACATATCTTGTCTGACTGTCTTTGCAGATCCTTTTGCAACCCTTTACCTATGTCCTCCAAGTCCCAGGGAAGATGATTAGAGGGAAGTTAGCCCAAGCCTTCAATTACTGGATGAGAATACCTGAGGATAAGCTAATGGTCATATCTGAGGTTATCCACATGTTGCATAATGCTAGCCTTTTGTAAGTGTTACTCACATGCTTTGCTGTGACTGTCTTTGTTTGTACTGTCTTGTGCATTGTACATTTCATCTGTATTAACTTCATTGTACATCAGTATTAACCCTTTTTTTGAGAAATTTTGTTGTGACGACATCTGTCCTTTTGTTTTTAATTTTTATGGTACATGTCATTAGATTTTTTATATTCATATGCATGAGGTATGTAACATAGTTGTCTTAAAAGCTCCAGTATTTGGACCTAGACTGTGCTGTGGGATTTTGGGAAATATAAAGTTCCACAGAAAATCTTAATTTTATGTATGTTTGTCCTGTATATGTTTGTGTATTCATTTAGTTATAGGAAATCAGTATGTTTTACTTACTCATTTGTGATTTACTTTTTTCATGTTTATGTAAAATGACTTAGTAATTTACTCAGTATAATTAGGAAAGATGGATAATCATAAAGAATCCAGTGATATGATGTTGGGATGTTAATTGGTTTGTGAACATATTTTGATTTACAGAATAGATGACATAGAGGACAATAGTGTTTTACGACGAGGTATCCCTGTGGCACATAGTATATACGGAGTTGCATCAACCATCAATTCGGCTAATTATGTTTATTTTCTGGGTCTAGAGAAAGTTCTAGCCCTGAATCATCCAAAGGTATGTTTGAATATAGTCAAATAGTTTGAGGAGTCTTTAGATTGATTTCTTATAATTAGAAGCTATTTATAAATGGTGTATCTTTGGTGTCTAGTTGATACAGTTCATTTTTAATAATTATTAAGAAAAAATGTTAGCATATAAATAGTTCTTGATGGTTCTTATACAAATGAATAGAAAATGAAAACCGACATGGAATTTGTGATTGCATGCTTTCTTGCAAAACATTATGTTCAGATTCAATTTAGTAGAACCATCTTGATTTCAAAATGTTGTACTACATACCTGCATCTAAAATGCTGTGAGTTCATATGTTACAGCTTTTCTTTTTTATGTATCATAGGCAACAACAGTGTTTTGTGAGCAGCTGCTGGAGCTCCATCGAGGGCAGGGAATGGAGATCTACTGGAGGGATTCATTTACTTGTCCGTCGGAGGAAGAATACAGACAGATGACCATACGGAGTATGTACATGAAGCAGACTTGTCGGGCAATACATTTTAAGACTTTATTACCTTCTGCTTCTCTTGTGATTACATATGAGTTGAAGATGCTTTAGGGTTTAATGCTTACCTTGATTAAATAAAAGGTGTAATTTTATGTTTTTGTATGTAATGCACTATTTTGACTAGAAATATTGCTCAAACGGATACACTAAAACCATAAACATATATGGCCTCTGTCACTATATAGTTGTCATACACACAAATACTACTTTATGAATGCAAGTGATGCACTGCATTCAACTATTTTAACCCAATCATGATGGGAACTCATGGTACCATGCCACAACATGCACCGGGGTGCACTTAAAGTCATCTACTTGAGGGAGAAAATTAGAAGCATGGGAAACATAAATTTAATCCACTCTTTCAGCTCTCGGCTGCATATGGGTAATGTGGCTAAAAAGAGGCTTTTAGCCTACTTTTGAAGGGCCCTTTCTCAGTGACTACATCTAAAACCAATCAAATAAACAGCTGTTTAGCATACACAACTCATAGATATGTCATTCCATCGTAGAAGATGGTCTAGCAATGATGTGATTGAGCATCACCCCAGAGGGAGGAATAGGTTCAAGAAACTTTATCCTTGGTTATTATTTAATTTAGGAATTCATTTGCTTTATATGTATATGTGTATGTATTCCTTTTTATTTTGTACAGTTTATACCTTGAGTATAACAGGAATAAAAAGATCTTTTTATTTTCAGAAACGGGTGGATTATTTGGCTTAGCTATTCGCTTAATGCAACTTTTCAGTCAAGTTCAGGATGACTTTTCAAGAATCACAGGAATTTTGGGACTGTACTTCCAGATTCGTGATGACTATGCAAATCTTTGCATGAAAGAGGTAAAGATATGAAGACTCTTAACCTAATGCCGCTGGGGAAAATGAATAAAAAATGGGGAAAATGCTGTGCTCATTTTTTATATTTTCGTGAAATGTCTCTGCACATAGATGGCTCTGCTAGTGCTTAGCCACAAAGGAGTCAATTAGTAGACTTTTTGATCGTACCTGATTTCACCTTTCCGTGAATTGATGGAGAAAAACTTATTTTTTACTAGTACTATAACTGTCGATGGTGTTATTTTTATAATAAACATTGTAATTATTGTAATGTTATGAACTTTAGTAACAGCAAACTAAGATAGTGTAAAATATTTTCGTAAATCAAGGAAAAGGATAAACGGGTGAGACAGACATTACTTGCAATGGGCTCATTAGTGACTTAGTACAAGTGTAGCTATCTGTGTGTAAAAACAATTAAACAAGTAAACTCACAGTGGTATGGCATGTACAAACATGCCATTCCCACTGTAAGTTTACTTTATTAATTGTTTTTAGACATAGATAGCTACACTTGTACTAAGTCACCAATGAGCCACTTACGAGAAACACCAGTCTTGCCTGTTTACTCATTTCCTTAATTTACGAAAATATTTAATGTTATTAAGCTGTTACTAATGCTTATAACATTACAACAATTATAATGTCTATAATAATAACACCATTGATTCATTGCATTAGTAAAAAGTGCGTTTTCCTGCCAATTCAAAGAAAGGTGAAATCAGGTAAGGTCACAAGGTCTACTAATTTGTGGGTAAGCACTAGCAGAGACATTTCACCCCCCCCCCAAAAAAAAAAAAAAAAAAAAAAAAAAAGGAGCAGAGCATTTTCCCAGCAGTATTGGTTAATTCTTATATGAGATGTCAAGTTATATAACTTAATTATTTGAAAGTCCTATCACAAAAATGTTTAATAAAAATGTAAATCATTAACTTTATGCCCCCCCCTCTCCTATCCCATTCCTGTCACTTGTCCCAGACATGGATGGTTAAAATTTATATAATATAACAAGTAGAAATGCTTTCTTTGAAATTAAGAAAATTTGACAAACTTGCTTAACCCATTAGTGCTGGGTATGACGTGTACGTACGTGCTATGCCCACCGTGAGTACTTGTTTGATTGTTTTTACGCATAGATGGCAACACTTGTACTAAATCACCAATGAGCCAACTACGAGCACCGCCCGTCTCGCCTGTTTACCCGTTTCTTTGATTTACGAAATATTTTACGTTATCTTATTTTGCTGTTACTAATGTTAAAAAAACATTATAAAAATTATAATGTTTATGATGAAAATAACACCATCGATTTTCATAGCATTAGTGAAAAATACGTTTTTCCCACCATTTCAAATCAGGCGCTAGCAGAGCCATCTATCGGCAGACATTTCACGAAAAACATAGAAAGTGGGCATAGCATTTTCCACATTTTTTGTTCATTTTCCCCGGCACCAATGGGGTAACAAGTAAGAATGTGTGAGCACATTTTAACCCATTTGCCCTGGATTTATTTTCTGCCTCCTGTAGTTTTTGGTGAATTTTGTTACATACAGATGGCTCTACATGTGCTCAGTCTGCAAGGAGTCTATCAGGCCCTAGTTACCAATCATGAGTTTCTCATTCCTTGAATTGGCGGGAAAATGTGCTTTTCTTATTAATTCCATTGCTATCGATACTGTTATTAGTGTTATTGATGTTATGATTATCAAATTGTTATTAAAATATTTTAGACAATGAAATGATACAAAAGACCCTCTCTAAAGTGAAGGAAAAGGGTAAACAGGTGAGATAGGTAGTTCTGATAACTGGCTGTTTGGTGATTAAGAACTTGTAGAGCCATCTGTGTGTAAATACAATAAATAAACATGTATTACAGTGGGCATGGCATGTGTTCTTGCCACATGGGGCGAATGGGTTAACTTCTGTCTAGAAATTGATCAAATATATATACCAGCAGTATATGAATATATCTAATGACTGATATCTGTTTCAGATTTCAAATGAAAAAGAAATACTAAGAAACTTCTTTACATCAGCAGAAATTACAATATTTATAAATTATATATATATATATATATATATATATATATATATATATATATATATATATATATATATATATATATATATATATATATATATATTTTATATATATATTTTATATATATATATATATATATATATATATATATATATATATATATATATATATATATATATATATATATATATATATTTATATATATATATATATATATAATATATATATATGTATATATATATATATATATATATTATATATATTTATTTATATTTATATTTATATTTATATTTATAAATTATATATATGTGTGTGTGTGTGTGTGTGTGTGTGTGTGTGTGTGTGTGTGTGTGTGTGTGTGTGTGTGTGTGTGTGTGTGTGTGTGTGTGTGTGTGTGTTTGTGTGTGTGTTGTAGATGGCTATACAAATCTTACATTTTTTATTTCCAGTTTAGGTCCCAAATTTCATTATTTCTTAGGGATAGTATATAGAGGTATAGTAATATTTCTAGAGTTACATTATTTTTTTTTACATTGTATTAATTCTCTATTTGGATTACATTTGTTGTTTATACTCATTGAAAGATTTTGATGCTGTTACATTTATTAATCACAGATATAAATGATTAGATGGCAGGAAATTAGGAGAATAACTGAGTCAGCAGCCCGTATAGGCTGAATACTGATAGGAGAACTGTATCATACATGTTGCAAATTTCACTATCTCTTTGGGAATAAAACACAACTTGTAATTTAATTGCTATAAGTAAAAAGCTATCACTGCTATCACTCAAAGAAATACCTATAGATCATTACTTTTGAGATATGAGAATTCTGTGTGATAATTGTTTTTTTTCTTTTTACAGTATAGTGACAGTAAAAGCTACTGTGAGGATTTGACAGAAGGCAAATTCAGTTTTCCCGTCATCCATGCCATTAAAACCCACCCTGACGACCAGCAAGTTATTAGTATCCTTTTTATGCTAAGATGTTTGAAGGTTATTTTGATTGTTATTCTTGTCTACTTTTAAGTCCAGATTTCAGATTTTCAGGCACAAGTAATACGCTGAAGACAGCTGAAGCTCAGTTATTGTTATTTACCCAATTTACTCCAATGCTCTCTTTATCTTATTATGAGAGATATGATTGAATTAAAATGGTTGGTCATTTCATGGCATACATGCTGCAGGAACGTTACTATAATTGTCATAGCTGCTCAGAGGGTATAGTAACTGGGTAAATGATTTTTTTTTAGTAGAATTTCCTTGACTTTGATAAGACCTGGTCACACAGTGGAGATTATGCCTAACCTCAGTGCTGAATATATTAGATACCCATTAATCCCTGGATCTGGATGCTTCACTGCCCAAACGTGGCCCAAAATATGGGCATTAGGTTTGAGTATCTACTCTGATGAGGGCATTTAAAACTTTTTTGGCATTTTACAATATCTGTATTTGTCATTTGATTTGCTTTACCCAGATGTTAAAAGACTGTTTTCCTTGCGCATTTCCTTCATAGTCCATAACATAATAATAATAGGCAACATTTTGTTCTTTGTGTCATTTATTAGATTTTCTGCAATACAATCTGTTCTGCCATTCACAGTGGACAGGAATAGGATCCTTAGCATGGAAACAATGTCCTCCCTGGAGCTGGTGCTCTTGCCGTCATAGCTCATGAATGGCACATTCCACCCACATTTATCAATGGAAATAATGCAAAAGCCTCTTCCTAAATGCCCACTGAGCCTTGTCATTCCCGGCATCCTGACCTTGAGCAGAAATTCTGATGATGGCAAGTCACCCCTGTCCTCAGCAGATTTTCACTTGATGGCATGTTCATATTGCCCATCCCTCAAGCCCAATTTTTTCATAATGTGATGGTCCCATCATCCGGATCATAGGGGTTAATGTGGTAAAGGTGGCATATAGAATATAAAACATTTCAATTTCTAGTTTTGGCTTTTTGTGGAAGCACTGAACTGTTTGAAACTCTCTTTGTCTACAACCATAAGTTCATAATTTTTCAAGTTTGATGTTGATTAACTGTATATAAATTTTGTTGTAGTGCAACATAGCTAAAAAAAACTCCTATTAGTGATAGGAATATAATTGTTTTTTTTTGTTTTGTTTATACTTTGCTTTTATCTAGAGGGAAATGAGTCTCATGGGCTGGCAAATGGGCATATTTTTTGTGGAAATTCTTAATATTGGTATTTGATGTTTGATCTTCAAAATGTTATTGAACTGTGTGGATGCCAATGCATGGGCAGGTACACAAATGAGTTTGATTGCATATGCAGCTGCATTTTGTGAGTCTGAACATATGAATTTGTATCCTAGCATTCATGTTTTACACAGGAAAATGTATTTGTGCATGTAGGGTGAAAGTTGTGTTTGCTTGTGTTTTAAATTGCATGTGTACATTCCATTATTTGTGTGTGCTTGAAGTTTATGCAGGTTCATTATTGATTGGTGAGTACTGGAATGTATGTCTTCTATGGGCAAAAAGAAGGTAGAATGTAAAATAATGAAATGTAATTATAAGAACTGTAGGTGTAGCATCATTCTCTCTTGCCTGCTGTCCAACCTTGACCATAAACCTCAGATATCATCCGCCAGAGACCCAAAGACCTGGAGGTCAAACGCTATTGTGTGTCCCTTCTGGAGAAGTTTGGCTCCCTTGAACACACCAAAGAAACCATGAAAAAACTGGAGGCCGAAGCACGAGAGGAGATCGTCAGGCTAGGAGGCAATCCACACTTGGAGAGAGTGCTGGATGAGCTCCGGAACTGGGAGAGCCTTTAAGGGCAGGAGGATGTGTCTCAGAAGCTTATTTATTTATTATACTAGAAAATAATACTTTTTTTTGCAGGGTCTCTTTTGTGTTAAGATAGTTTTGTACTATGTATATGAAGAAAGGAAATCAGTAGCCATGGTCAGCTTTTATCTCTTTTTTTTTTTTATTCATGGAGTGCACAATGTTTAATGAATTAAGCAAGGTATGTGATTAATATAGGTAGATTCTATATTGGAAATATATTTCTTTCAGTGAAAGAAAACCTTTGAATATTGAACCCTATATTTACTAGTTTGATCCTCCAAGTAACAAGTACCTCACTTTCATTATGATGGTGGAGCAGTAAGTCACCATCTGGAAGCCTAGGTTCCCTTGGCTATTTGACTAATTGGCTCCTTGCTGTAATTTTTTTGCATTTTTTAAATTTGAAAGTTAAAGCTCAAGTTATTGGGTATAAAACATGATTTCCTTTAAAGCCAGCTATATAGAAAATTGAATCAGATGAATGGGTCCAGCCATCCATATGAATTAAATATTTTTTTCAAATATCAAAATGTTTCTGATGATGCTATAAAACCTGGCTTTACTTGATTGCCAGCAAAATGGAAAATTGATTCAAGTGAATGGTTCCAATCATGAATACAGATGGAATAATTGCTTAAAATATTGTCATATCACTCTCAGTATAAACATTTAATAAGATGTTTCTGATTTCCCTCTTTCTGTAGTTCTGCTTGCTGTACCTCTCTTCACCTGATATTGAAATAGGAATTTTACTAATAATAAGTAGAGTAGTAGCAGTTTGAGATATTCCCTTGTAGCAAAAACAACAGTAAAATGCAGATTAGGTTTGAGCAACTGTAGAATTAGAAATGCTATAATATTAAACTTTTAGAGGAAATGGTCTTTAAATTTTTAAATTCAACTTCTTCATTAATTATGCATTGCACAAATTTTAGATTTAACCCTCTCCTTCCAAAGACGACATACAAGGTCACTAATACCTAGTATGGAAAGGGTTAAGTATATAGCTTTGACCACATGAGCAGGCTATTTTACTTATTCATCTCTAGTTTACTGAATACTTAAACAGCAATGCAACTATAACTATATTATGGCTAGCTTGCATGCATTGCTTTTCCCCAGATAAGTGAAAAGTGCACAGAATCTATTCATTTTCCTGTCTAGTCTTCAGATAATTATGCCTTTTAATCCAGCTTGGTCTGTCCAAAGAAATTATTAAAGCAGAATAGTTCTTTGATGACCTGGAGATGGAATGTAGAAGGAAACGGTCTTCCAGAAAATAAATGAAAAATGAATGTTTTTCCAGAATATATTTTCCATCCATTAGAGTAAGAAGTAGACAGGGACCTTGTTTTTTATTCTAAAATCAGTGCTTCTAGGTTAACACACTTGGCTGTTCACATCAGTGTTTTTTGTGAATTATATTTGGTTTGACTGTTACATCTTGAGGTAACATTGAGATAACGGATGAAACAAAATTTAAAAAGTGTAACTGAATTGTAACTCTTTCCTTGCTAACTGATTCATAGATTGATTTTGTTGTATTATCCTTTCTATCTGATAAATTGAAGGTTTAGTGAAAATCAGTCATATATAACATTGTTATAAAGTTAAAAGAATCAACTGAACATTATACTGGTTTGATTTTATTAAGAGGTTATTACATAATATTGGCAATTCATAACTCTGATGGAATAACATTTAGACCTCATAGAATGCTATTCCTTATAGAAGGATTATAAAAACTATAGGATATTGCATATTACAGTATAACAGAGTAATAGAGTCCAGTAGATTTTAGATATAGAAAACATTTCCTCTTTTTTCTCTTAATGCTTGTTACAACTTTTTTTATGAAGAATAATTTGTAATTAATTATAAAAGGAGAATCTTATATTATATTATGTTGGAACCCAAAAGTCCCAGATATATTACTTGTAGAGATAATTTGTTGTATGTAATGGATCTACAATTAATTTCCCTAGATATCTTGATTGGATATATAATATTCATTGTATTTTCTTTATCACAGTTCAATCAGATTTGTATGATAATATAAGAGTAGATGCTATGATGAATAGATGTACGTTTTAGTTAAAAGGTTTTGCATTGTGCTGTACTTTACACAGCTCCATTTAGTCACTAGAATTGCAAATGACAATAAAAAAGTATGTAATGTAGATATCGGTACATAAGATATCCAGTTTTGTTTTTTCACTTCTCCAAAACTTATTGACAGATTGTTGACAAGATGAGTTTTCTGGATGATTGATGCTATTGTAAATTTATTTATTTAGCAAAAATTTGAAATAGTTGATGAAATGAATTTGAAATTTTTGTAATACAAATAAATAACAACATGATTTTGAATGATTAGGGTTATCTTTTCTCTGTCATACCTGCTTATTAAATATATACAGTACATATCAAGAGTTACAATCAACATTCCTTTCCACATGCTCAATCCCTGTAGTGCAATGATCTGTGAATTATTCTTGGTGAAAAAATAATGCTGCATCCACATGAACAAGTATTTCTGGTGGGCATGAGTGGTAAAGCTCTTCAGTGAGCAACTTTGATGGGCAAACCAGCGGAATGCCCATGCCTGAGTTGAGCACAATTGCCAGACAATGGGTGTGCTGCGCTCAAGCATCTACTGGTAGTACTGGCTATGTGTCTGGCTACTTGTGAACTTGGGTCTGTAGACAACAATTGGGCTTGTTTGACAATTTGCCTAGTGAAGGCACTGC